ATGATGATGATGATGATATTGGTAATGTTTATTCGAATGATGATTCGGATGAAGGTGATGACGCGGATGATAATGATGATGATCTCAATGATGAAGACGATGACGATGATAATGACGATTATCATGATAACGATTCGGATGATGATGATTTTGGTGAGGACGATAAATATGATGATGATTATTCCGATGATGATGATGGTGGAGATGATGATGATGATTCGGATGACGATGTTGATAAATCATTTGATGATGATGATGATGATGATGACTCGGATGATGATGATGATGAGGATGATTACGATTATTCGGATCATAATGATGATGATGGTGATAAAGATGACGAAGATGTATTTCTTCATGATGATGATGATGATTCGGATGGTGATGATGTTGTTGCTGATGATGACGATGAGGATGATGATGATGATGTTGATGATTAGGATGGTGATGATGATGATGATTAGTATAATTATGGTGATGATGATTGCGATGTTCATGAGGATGATGACGATGATGGTGCAGATGACGGCGATGTTGATAATGATGATGATGACGGTGATGATGATGATGTCGATGAGGATTCGGACGTCGTTTATGATGATGATGATGATGATGATGATTCGGATGATGATGATGATGATGACGATTCGGATGATTATGAAGACGATTCGGATGACGATGATGATTCGCATGTTGATGATGATTCGGATGATCATTCGGATGGGGATGCTGATTCGCATGATAATAATGATGTCGATGATAACGACGATGATGATGATGATTCAAATGATGATGCTGATGTTAATGATGACAATGATAAAGATGATGATGATGATGATGATGATGATGAAAAGGAGGTGGAGGATCATGATGATGATTCGGATGATGATGATGATGATTATAAGGGTGAAATGGATTCGGATTATGATGGCGATGATGATGACGGTGATGACGATGATGATGGGGATTACGATTCGGATGACGATGCTGATAAGTACATTGGTGATAACGATGATGATGATGATGATAGGGATGGTAAAGATGACTCGGTTGAAGATGATGAAGTTGTTTATGATGATGGTTCTGATTATTATGTTGATGATGATGATGATGACAATGTTGATGATGATGATAACGATGATGTTTATGATGATGATGATGGTGAAGATGATGATGAAGCAGAAGATGATGAGGAGGAGGAGGATGAAGTTGATGATGATTATGATGATGATAAGAATGATGATGATCCTGATGATGATGACGATGATGATGAAGATGAGAAGGCGATGATGACGATGACGATGAGGATCATGATTACGATTCGGATGATGATGATGATGATTATAAGGGTGAAATGGATTCGGATGATGATGGCGATGATGACGACGATGGTGACGATGATGATGATGATGATAAGGATGACGATTATGATGTATCGAACGATGATTAAGGTGAATATGATGATGAAAATGATGACGTTGATGATGATGATGATGATGATGACAATGTTGATGGCGATGAAGATGATAATGAGGATAAGGATGAATATTCGGACGATTATGGTGAATCGGAAAATGATGATGATGAGGAGGATGACGCTGATGATGATGATGATGATGATGACAATGATGATATTGTTGAGGACGATGACGAGGATAATGGGCAAACGGATGATGATTCGGATGCTGATGATGATGACGAGGGCGACGATGATGTTGTTGTTGATTCGGATGACGATGCCGATCATGGGGATGAAGACAATGACGATGATTATGATGGTGATGCTGACGATGAAACGGATGATGTTGCTGATTCGGATGATGATGACCACGAGAACGGAGATGATGATGATGAATGGGATGATGTTGATGATGTTGACGATGAGCATGATTCGGATGATTCGGATGAGGATGATTCGGATAAGGATGATGGTGAGGATGATTCGGAATCCGATGATGACTTCGATAATGACGATGATGTAGCGCTGGTCGATGACGACGATGATGATGATGATGATGATGATATTGGTAATGTTTATTCGAATGATGATTCGGATGAAGGTGATGACGCGGATGATAATGATGATGATCTCAATGATGAAGACGATGACGATGATAATGACGATTATCATGATAACGATTCGGATGATGATGATGTTGGTGAGGACGATAAATATGATGATGATTATTCCGATGATGATGATGGTGGTGATGATGATGATGATGATTCGGATGACGATGTTGATAAATCATTTCATGATGATGATGATGATGATGACTCGGATGATGATGATGATGATGAGGATGATTACGATTATTCGGATCATAATGATGATGATGGTGATAAAGATGACGAAGATGTATTTCTTGATGATGATGATGATGATTCGGATGGTGATGATGTTGGTGCTGATGATGACGATGAGGATGATGATGACGATGTTGATGATGATGACGATGAGGATTATTCGGATGATGAAGATGATAATGATGATGACGATGATGATGATTATGATTGTGTTGATGTTTATTAGAATGGTGATTCGGATGAAGGATATGACGCGGATGATGATGAAGTTGTGGATGCTGAGGACGCTGAAGATGATGAAGACGATGACCTTGATAATGATTCGGATGATTGATGATGATGATAATGAAGACGATGAATATGATGATCTTTAATCGGATGATGATGATGATGATGATGATGATTATTATTCGGATCATGATGATGATGATGGTGATAAAGTTGATGAAATCGATTTTGTTGATGACCGTGATGATCAATCGGATAATGACGATGACTCGGATTATCATGATTATGACGATGAAGAGGGTCATGACGATGACTCGGATGACGACGATGATGACGGTGATGAAGATGCTGATGATTAGGATGGTGATGATGATGATGATTAGGATAATTATGGTGACGATGATTGCGATGTTCATGATGATGATGACGATGATGGTG